TTTTATTTCTAGAAATAAAAATCAGTTTCATACGCGTTAATATTGTGCGGTGAAACTAGGCCTGTCCATCCGGCCCGGTCCGGTCCGGAAATCCGGGCCCAGGCCGGGCAAAACCGGGACCCGGACCCGGACCCGGGTACCCCGGGCCGGGTTCCGGACTGGCCCGGCTGATTTTCTTTTTTTTAATTTTTTTTCAAAATTTTTCAATTTTATTTAAATTTAAAATTATAAAAAAATAAGAAAAATAATAAAAACAATAATTTTATTAATTACTTAAAATGACATAAATTACAAATAAAAAATGATAAAAACAAATTCTTTATTAATAACTAATAAATCATTTACAAATTACAAGTACAAATTTATTTTGGAATTAATCGCATCACAATAGATAAGTAAATCCCAACTAAGTTGACACCTATTCGCCTATATCACTATCATTTATAATTATTTTTAAAATAATTCTTTACAAATTTTAAGCTAAGATATAAAAACTACAATCTATTCTTTATATTTATCTGCTAGTCCCAATTCTTCAAATTTATCTTCAATTCCAGCCATCCGATCGATGCCTTGCGTTCGCTTCTCGTACCTCCACCAATCTTATAAGCACATCACCGCTTGTATAGTATACGGATCCAAGCATGTTCTGTGATCGTCGATCAAACGACCTGCTGTGCTGAAGGCGGATTCCGAAGCTACCGTCAAAACCTGCACTGTTAGTAAGTCACGAACCATGGTGGAAAGTATAGGTATGAAACTGATCCATATACTTTCCACCATTGCAAAATATCTAAAGCATTTCCTTGACATCTAACTAAAGAAGCAGAAAAATATTCATCTATTTCAGAAACCTCCGATGATGACGATCCAAGTCCAGATCCACCAGTTAGCTCGGCTACCATTGCATACCTATCAAAACTTACACTTTTACCTCGGGCTCGGGATGAGCTCGAAGAAACCGAAGCTGCAGACTGTTGTGCAGCTACACCATGTCTAGCTGCATACTCATCATATAAAGTTTGAAAATAATTTCTAATAAGTAAATGATGAGTAGTAGCATTCAGGGTGGTTCCATCATCTAAGTCTATAATCTGATTACCATACAAGGATTGTAACAAACTTCGAAGGCCAATATCCTTCAAGCATAGATCAATAAGAACCCCCAAACAAAAAATATGAGGAATAGGCCTAAAGTACTTATTAAATTTTCTCTCCATTTCAAAAATTATAGGTCCAAAAGTAGCATCCATACGATATTTCCCAAAAAAATTTTGAATATTTAAAATTTGTAAAGCAGCTAAAGTAATGGTTGGATAATAACAACCAGATAATAACATTGTAGCATCATAAAAAACTTATAACATTTATATAATTGTCCATTCATCTTCAGTTATTCCATAAGTGCTACCAGAACTAGAACTAGAAGCATAATAGTTTATAAAATCAGTTATAATGTCTTTATATTCTATTGCTACACTTAACATTACATATGTGGAATTCCACCTATGGTCAACATCTTTTGGAATTAGTCTAGGCTTTGTATTTTTTCTTTTACAAAATTATTTCCATCTTTTAAGTCTTTGTTCAGAAGCACTATGCATGTAAGCAACTGTTCTAACATTTTCTATCATGAGTTTAATTTCAGTAAATGCACTTTGAACAATTAAATTTAATATATGACAGATGCACCTAATATGAAAAAGATCACCATGACATGACAATGATAAAGATGATCTGATAAAATCAACAGCTACATTGTTATTACTTGCATTATCTAGTGAAAGAAAATATTCTTTCTGAAATTTCTAATTTCATACAAGTTCTTCAATTATTAAATTTGCAACATTAGCACCAGTATGTGACTCTTCTATTGCAATAAAAGAAACAACTCTTTTAAACATTTGCCAATTTTCATCAATCCAGTGTGCTGTGATACATAAATATCCAGTTTGTGCTCTAGATGTCCAAATATCAGAAGTTAAAGAAAATTTACAGTTTAAATTTTTAAAATAAGAAATTATTTTTTCTTGTTCCTCCTGATAATATTTTAAAATATCACGTTGACAGGTTTGACGAGAAAATTTTTTAAATGCAGGATAAAAACCATCTCTAAACATATCTTCAAATTCATCATCTTCTACTAATTTAAAAGGAAGGTTTTTAAGAATGATAAACCTGATTACGCATTTCCTGGCTCTGGCAGCGTCATAGTTTCAACTACCGAGACTACCAGAAGAGGAGGATTGAGAAATCATAGATTGTCGGATATCACCTTGAGGTGTTTGGCCTTTGTTGTGTTTATCTAAATGGCGTTTGAGGTGGTTGGTGCCGTTCTTATGATGAGCTTAAAAAATCTTGCCGCACAATGCACTTAGCCTTCTGGGTGAGCATCCTACCGTGTTCATCCTTGGTGACGTCGATCTTCTCGTAAAAATTCCACACATCGGATCTTGGCCTTTTAGGAGCTCTTGGTGCAGATTCGTCGCCACCAGATTCAGGATTAACTTCAGTAGGAGTAGACCCAGTAGGAGGACTCATTTCAGGATCGGGAGATAGGTTTTGCTCTTCATAATCAGATCCGGAAGCCATTTGGGGATTGGATTAGAAAGTATAAATAAGAGAGTATAAGAGTATAAGAGAGAGTATAAGAGTATAAGAGAGAAGAGATGAGTTTTTGGTGTGAAGAAAACAAATGAAAACCCCCCTCTATTTATAGAACCAGCCCCCTAGGTAAATGACCAAAATAACCTCACAAAATAGCCGTTTTTTGACCGTTTTTGAGGGCAAAACGGTCAAAGGGCCAATCTGACCGTTGTTACCGGGCCGGGCCGGCCACAACGGTCACTTATGTGACCGTTGTGCGCCGGTGCCGCGGCTCCGGCCCAGGTCTCGGCCGCGGTATGTGGACCGGCAGGCTCCGCCCCTGTTCACGGGCCGCGGCCGAGCCGCCCGGGTGAGGCAACTCGGACCCCGGACCCGGCAAACCCCGCGCTGGCCCGGATTTCTGGGCCGATGGCCTTGGCCAGGGCGGGCTCCGGGCCGGGCCGAGGACCGGCGGGGTATTTTGGATAGCCCTAGGAGAAACTGAATCGGTGTTTTTTAAAAAAAATTACTTAGACTGGACTGCTACCCCGCCTAATTGATAGACCACAAAAGTTTAAAATAAGCTCCGTTGCAGCTGAGCAACTATTTAGGAACTTAATTTGCAAAGATGATTGTGCGTTGTTCAATGCAATGGTTATTTTAAACTCAATACCTATAGCTAATTACTATGGCTTAGCTTAGTAAACTATATATACCTTTTAACATCGACTCAGTTTCAACAATTGCGCTGACATGACTGGAACTTGGTCTATTTTTATAAATAAAATTGAAGTGTGTTCATTTTTGCGAATAAATATTACAATGTATCTATTTCAAAGTTTGACCCTATGACTTGTCTCAAGTCAGATGTCGTTATTGGATAAATTACACTTAGATTCTAAGTTTAAAACCTCACATTTAAATACTCCAAAGTTTCTAAAAAACTATAGTCTAATACCTTAATTGATAATGAAGTAAATATTTTAGAAACTTTAAGATATTTAAGTATAAGGTTTTAAATCTAGGATATTTTGGGGCAATAGCAGTAGGAAATTTAAATTGTAATTTACCGCTCATTATTTTGGGTCCAAATCTAAAATAAAGTGCCTATCGTAGCAGTTCTTATCAGGAAACTTTGCATCGGATAGAATTCGCTTGGACATATTAAAAGTTATGGGGAGCTATCTAAAAAAAAAGTTTTGAAGGAGGTTTTGTAGGAATCTCAAAAGTTAAAAGGGGGAATTATGTCACTTTAAAAGTTAAGGAGAGCTACGTGAGAAACCCCGAACTTAAATCCTTGACCAAAGTGTAGTGACCTTCCTTTGATCAATATGAATCCGCCTGCGGATGTTCATATTAATTCATGCGAGTTTGGCTGCCCAATTCAATTCTTGTGGGCTAGGCTGACCAAATTAACCAAAATATCTATCTAGGGATCAATTTGTGGGAATTCATTGACCACTTCTCAACGGATTGTGCTGTGAGAAGAAAGTAAAATGGTTTAGAGAATCTTACGCAGGCGATATCTTTTAGAGCTTTGCTACAGAGACCCAAAATATGAGACCAACAGAGGGACATGTGATATGTCCCTCTCCTATTGCATAATGAGCTGATCATCATTAATGATGACCAGCTCATTATGCAATAGGAGGGGGACACTTCACCTGTCCCCCCTATTGGTCCCATATTTTGGGTCCTTGGGGAATTTTTCTATCTTTTAGGATTAAGATGACTAATTGTAAAAGCCACTATTTACAGACATATCTTTAGAGAAATGATAACAACAGAAAAAAAATACGGAGCCCCAAAACCAATGAATTTGAGCATCAACTACTTGGTGTATATTACCAGAAAGGCGACGCAGTGGTTCAAAGTTCAAACTGTTGAGGAGATGCTACGTCTACTACATCAAGCAAGCATTTTTTTGTTCTGTCTATTCTCTCCTTGTACTGCAACTAGGGCTGCTGAAAGACATTTGTATCCGTCGATAAACCCGTAGGATATATAGTTGTTAAAATCCTTAACCCATAAGGTACGGTTACGAATATGATTTTGTAGTGAAATATCTGGATCCGGATCCGAAATATCCAAATATATGTTGATCAATTATCATATGGTTTAAATGGTTTTAATCTTTGGAGGAATGGATTTGAGACTTATTTTGAAGATATAACAAACATATATTAATGAATTCTCTTGTATCATATAAACTATATTTTTCTGACATTGTTTGGTTTTCTCATATCCATTTTATATTATCCACATATACTTCCACATGTAAATCAAATATCCAAACTATATTGATCAATAACCCCATCAGAACCTACAAGCTCACAATTTCATAGTTAAGATAACACTAAAACTCAACAATCATACTACTATCACAACCAGCATTCAATGCATCCCACCAGAAAACGCATGAAAACCTACGCACAAGCAAATAGGACCACACAAGTTTAACGATATACACAAACCAACATAAAGTCTTAAAATGCACATACATGAGTTATATAATGAAGTACCACCACAAACTTTAACCTCCTGAAGGATATAGTAACAGTACACATAGACCACAGATAATATCTCATAGGATAATATCTCATAGGATAAACTGAAGGAAAGACGCCAAACTATGTTTACTCTCATGCCCACTAATGATCTTATTATCCCAGACTGCCACCGGTTTGATGCAGCATAGCGTCAATCTCATCCCCTTCCTCCATCTCGAGCTGTTGCAAAGTTTAAACGATAACATTAATATCTATCATTATGAGTCTAAACAGAAGTAAATGTAGATGAACACGCAGTTCTGAGCTGAAAATTTACCTCATCTGGGGTCTGCTCTCCTCGCAGCCTGCGACCATCGAAAAGGAAGGCAATGGAGTTGAAATCAACGGACTGCCTGTCACAGTAAGCATTCATGAGCTTACGCAGCTGTGTGCTGCGCTTGATGCGGAAAAAGACCTCATTTCCATCCTGCAAAATAATAATAATAATAAATTTAAAAGGACACAGGGAAATTAAACAGCTTATAGTACAAGAAATCCAGGTAAATGTAGATATCTTGGACAAGATTATATACAGAAAACAAATAAACTGAATGTTTGGTAGATTTGATAGATTGGAGAAGCAATATATTGCTATGATGAAGTAGATATAATGTCCAATATATTACTATGATGAAGGAGATACGATGCACTTACTTTATAATTTTCATGCAAGAGTAGCAAGTCCTTTGCTTTATGCTTTATGATTTAACCAGTTTTATCACATAATGAATGATTATATACTTTACTGAACGAGCTGCAAATCTAGACTACATAATTTCTGAACTGAGAAAATATTCGGTGTACATGTATGAATATAATCGAAGGAAAGAAAACGGAACTCTAATCTAATATAAATATATTAAAATCACATCATATCTTTGGAACCAGTGAGCATAAATAACTTGATCTACATCATATCAATCAACTCCAAACACCTTATACCAAAAAACAAAAGCTACCTCCTCCCAGGCAAAACTCTTTTAATCATACTCAAAAGCAGACTAGGTTATAACCTGACAGAGCAAGTTCTATTTATTTTCTCTATTGAATCACATGGATTTACCTTTTGCTTTTCCCAATATCCACCAGTAGCGAACATAGCTCTTCACTTCCTTTTATGTGCTTTCTTAAATTGTTTTTGCAGTAACATAAAAATGAAGGACTAACCCAGTAGCTCCTCATTTGACTTAGCCCCAGAACCCTCTGTTCTTCATTAAAACCACCACCATTTTTTTTTTTGGGGTGGGGTGGGGTGGGCATTACTAGTATTATATTAAACAAAAAAATTGCCTTGCCGTTCCACTAAAAAAAACTCCCTATCATTTGCATGAAAATGTCAACAAAAAAAAAAGACGAAAGTGTCCAAGAAATACTAATGAGATATTAAAAGTAAACACTGATTGCATAGAAAACAAAACAACACAAGGGAAAACATTTTTTCAGTAATTTATCTCAGTGATGGAGACATATGAAGAGGAAAGCTGAACACAGTAAGCATATCGTTCTCTTACTTTTATTCAGTTCTATAATGGCAACAAATGAAGTTTAAAGCAATCTTCAGAATCACCTAATATTAGCCTGTAAACCTTTATTTTTAAGCACTATATAAGTCTATCTATGAATTCCAGTACATATCACAATAATCCTTTCTAATTATATTAACAATAAAACTAAAGAAAGCAAAACTGTACAACTGTCTAAGTAGGTGGTAATAAAACAATATGTCGTGTAAGAACTTTGTGTCATGATTAATTGAGCACATCCCTGTTATCCCAACAAAGTTTTGATGAAGAAACAACATAATATCATATATACGAGTTCATGATATGAAAAGCATCAGATAAGTGCAAATGGTACATCTTCCTGGGCCTGCCAGCACTAGATATATGTAACTAGATTATCCACCTAAGAAACAAAATATAATTTGGATTTTGGAAATTAATTGGAATGGAAATGTAAAAACAGAGACATCAATTTGGATGAGATGCATAAATTAAGAGTTGCTTTTAACTTGTTGCATGCGAGAGATTTAAAACTTACAAGCCTGAGTAAGATTACGCTAACAATATCTTCCAACAATTTAGCGTTAATTGGCACAAGGGACCTCATCTACTTGACAGTCCTCTACAAAGCTTCTCTCATTTGATCATTTCAAATTATTGTTCTGAGGTTGCATCACAATTCTAGTTTGACAAAAAAGGTAAGTGTAGCCTCAGATCGTGACCAATGTTAAAAATAACGATAATGCATAACGTAATGCTAAATTTATAGCTTGTTTATAATTACATTTGTATTGTAACTCATATTCATAATTTTAAGATCACATAACGATGTCACCAAAACAAGACATGAAAGCTTGACAAACAATTCAAAAGTTACTTACATGTCATATTGAAGTAACGTAAGTTATATTAAAATAATACGTTATATTGTAATAACATTTATGATGTGTCTGGGTTATTTCATAAGGTCATGTAACATTTAAGGCTTGTTAGTTACATGACACAACATAATGAGTTATGTAACGATTATTTTTCAACTATGATTGTGACATATTACAACTCGCAACTCAACAAATAACTTTGCACATAGTAGGAGCAACACTATGTGTCATGTAACTTACATTACAATATACAACTCAAAAAATAAAGATGCCCATAATTTGTGAACTCTTGTTAGAAACAATATTCTACTTCACAGTTAACAATACAACTTGTGAGCATGCCAACACTAAGAAATAGGATAAGGGTACAATTTAATATATAACTATGATATCTGAATCCCAATCCCGATACCTGTGTTAACCCACATTTGAAACTATTTTAATCTTAATTAGTTTAGACATGGTACAGATTTTCATTATCCAAAAGTTCTAAGCTGAAGTTTTTAGTCATGTGGAACCACATTGGTGAACTAATTGAAATTTTATTTTATTTACATAGTAATGGTATAATATAGCATATATTATTTGAGAATAATGGGTAACCTTGTCATACTACAGGATTCCCTCACATGACATTGATGTGATTCAATCTCAACAAAGTGAGATAAGGGGGAGAGAAACTCCCATAAACATAATTTGTTGAAATTGAGCCAGATAATTGTACATGAGAAAATCCCCTCATATAACATATAATACACATTAATCTCATATTCTTTTGAACCTTATTAATCTCTCTCATTTCTATATGTATCTGGATCTATTTTCCTCTAACCTGATTTGTATCCATATTTGTTCTTAGCAGATGCACTTAGGTTCTCTTCAGAAAACCGTACTTATATTTGTATAAGCATCTCAGATACGTAAGTAGACACAAATATGGTACATGTCCAAACCATTTCTGTGCCTGTTTACCAAGACATTCTTTCTATATTTGAAGTTTTGGTAACAATGCTAATTAACCATAATACAAATGGAAGTGTCATTTAAATCAAAAAAGTGAAGGACAAGTTAGATTAACAAAACATTATTAAATCATTCAACAAAGTAGTTCAATCAACAAACTAATTAATTTTTAGTTTGAAACTGTAGAATTGAAGGTTAAAATTTTAAAGCATTGAAAAGCTAGAATAGGCATTATCTATAATTTGTATCCACTTCCCCAAACTTATGACCCATGTAGTCCAACTCTAAAAATGGAAAACAAATAAAGAACAATTTCTATGCCACAACTACCATATTAAATAAAGTATTTTTCGGACATACAATTCAATATCAGTTAAGATTTCTCTGTAAGAATTTAAGAACAGGCCTAGAGAAACCAATTGCAACTATTTTACAACAGTAACTCCAGATACTGGCTGACATGTATAAAATCCTTTCCAGGTTCAAACTCTATTCAAGGTCATTCAAGATAAATGTTTTGTTACATCCGTTAATAGATTTTTTTTTTTTAAATTCAATGTCATTCAAGATAATTATACAAATACAAGACCCATTGCTAAGTTGACCTCAAAATATCAGAAGTACCCACAAAACACAAAGAGGTTAGTATACATGGGGGAAAAGATAATCTCAACTGAGAAGTCTCTCCCAGGAAAGGAAGAAAAACAAAAAACAGACTTAATGAAGAGGGGATTTGAACATTTTACCTGTGCCTTAACCTTAAGATTTAAGAAAGGAGTTTCATCAATTGGCCTCTTTTCCTCTCGCCTTGATACAGACATTATCTATTCTATGATAGGATTGATCTAGGATTCAGAAGAGTACCTCTGAAAGAGACGAAGAGAAAATGTAGATTTCCCTTCTCTTTTAAAGTGGAATCTCAACATCAATTTTGATAAATATTTGACATCCGCCAACACAGTGTAGGCATAAAACGGGCAACAGGACAGATGGACAGCTCTGGTTTGCAAGAGAGAATGTAACGGATGTGAACAAGGAAAGACTGTAACGGTCGTGCATGATGTTTTGAGGGGTCATCCAGAAGAGTAATGCCTCTATATGGAATTAAATTCCACGTGTATTTCGAAAATTATAAGAGTAACGTACAATTCTAGCATGCCAAACCTCATTTCTAAGGTGAGTTTCTAGAATCTACATGCACATGAAACTAAGGGTAAAATGTACAGAAAATGTTAATTAAAGACAAGATTAAACCACACTAGGATATTCCTTAACAGTAGGTTAAAAAAGTCAGTATGCTAATGACTGTGAACAATTGACACAAAAAGTTGAAGGCGACACAAGCAATTGCAATAACTATAAGTCTACAACCCGCAATTAACTTGATTAGTTTCCAAATACTTAGAAGGTGACACATGGAAAGGTATCCCTAACTAGTAACTTACAAATTGAGTATCCCACTACTATCCCCACATGCAAAATTAAAATTCCATGTCAAAACCCAAATCAGTGATGAGGCCCTATATCCACAAGACAGACGGCTAAGTGTTTCAAGATGAGTCAACAACAACAAAACTCAATAATTAAAATCCAAAATAGTGCAACTGAAATCCATGAACTGCAGTCTGAACCTTGTTCCCTTAAGTGGAATAAAGATTATTGTTAAGATCTAAAGACACTAATACAACAATATTCAAAACTTATGCAAGTAGCATTCTAAAGAAGGAATCATATCCCTTGTGCCCTTTAAAAGAAAGATCTTAGTACTGTCCACTAAGAGTTTAGCAGTGGAGAATCCAATTCTTAACTGCAGTTCTATATTATTCGTTGATATCTCCATTCATCCCAAAGGAAACTGACACCAGGACAACCATGCATGCTCAGGGAAAAAATATAGCATTCCATCTAAGTTGCATGGATACTAGTAAGGGTGCGGGTGCGGGTGCAGGTGCGGATACCAATATGGATACGAGACATGGAAAATTCATAAAATATAGGGTATGATAATACGACCATACATGGGCTGAAATCATAGTTCTGAACTATATGCGACGTTTTAAATATCGTTTATTGGAAATATATCGGATAGCTAAAATTCATATCGGATCCCAGTTGTTGGGATATATCGGGGATATGTAGTAGGAATCAGAGTGTTACATTGGATGGTGAGCATATATAATAGTGACTTAAAATATAATCTAAGCACAAAAATAGACATACTAATATTCAAATAACACATGTTTAGGATCACTTGCTAATTGTTTTTGTTTAGCAGATGTGAAATAGAATAGAATAACATTGTTTTTGTTTAGCGTATGCAGGTTGGTCAAGGAAAAAAGAGGATTTTTGTCTTTAAACCCAAACCAGTTCACTTAGAATGTAAATTGTAGAAAATTGGTTGATTTTTAGCCCACAAGAAATCGCTCGCTTTATAGAATTTACACCGATATATTGGGAAAAATCGGCCCAAAACTACATGCAATATATTTTTGCAAAAATCATATCGATCATAGCCCAAACCCTATATATCGTTGATAAATTGATAAAATCGGCCTATTTTCAAAACCTTGACTATACGCTCAAATAACCCTTTGAAATCATAATTCTAAACTGAATAGGTCTTGCAATAAATCCAAACCTTGTCCAACATGTTTTGATAGTGGATGTGTAGGATAGATGTCAATAAGTGTATTAGGTGTTATCAATTAAAACATGTATAAATATAATTGAGTACACATCTGAATAAATGTATGCATTCATATATAAGGAAGGAGTGTCCAAGAAGTGTTGGGTAGGGATACAGGTATGGAACTTGGCATTGGTACAACTTCATGATAGGAGTACCCCCTTAACTTAGGTTACCATTAAACAAACTTATTACAATCATCCCAATCATGTCGGCACAAGTAAAACATATAGGATATAATTAACTGTCACTATCCAAGTTTTCTTCAATAATTTAGGCCGTAATTCAGAGTTTCGCCTTGAACCCAAGCAACAAGGGAAAATCCATCAGGCCCTATTATGAAAAATGATCTCTAACAACTTCCTGAACTCATAACTAGTTCTACTTCATCAAAAAGAGAACACCAAATGAGAATAACAAACGTGAGTAAAACAATTCAAACTTAACTAGTTCAAATCCTCTAATAAACATCTATTATGTTCTTAAACTTCAAATTCAATCAACTCTTTAACCCAAACATGCAAACATATATAATGTACTTGAAACTAAAATTTTCAATCAACTGTTTTAAGGCAAACATCCCTGGTTAAAGTCAGCTATTTCTTATACACAAAAACACATATATTACTTGATACTACAAAGAAATCAAAACTTGCTGTCCATGCCTTTATGAAATAAAACAAAAAAAAATCTAGGTCTCTAAACCTACTCCCAAATTCTGCATGCAAAAATCTAATCTAATGAAATTAAACAACTACAAACAAAATCTAGATCGGCTCATCACATTATCAAGTATCAAGATCAAAATAACCAGATCGAAGAAAAAAATCAACCGAAACTCAAAGGGAAAAGAATCCGAAGATCGTATACCTGACCCTTAACCTTGAGATTGATGTGCGCGCCCTGATCGGCCGGCTTCTTATCCTCCTCGGTCCCCGCTCCTGACATCGTCTCGATCGAAAAACCTAGGATCTCAAACGAAGAACAATATTTTTTTTCAGAAAAGATAAAGGGAAAATAAAAAAAAAGGCGAAGCGAGTTTTGCAATTGGCCTTTTCTGCTTCCCTCCTTTATAGCGGGATTTCAAAATCGAATTTAAATAGTATCTCAGGTCCGCGAACTTTTGAAAGCGATGGGCGATGGTTCGGCGAGAATGGACGGTTCTGATTCGGTCTGCTCTTAGATGGAATTGACCGCTGAGATTCAGTTTGAAGGTTTGAAAAGAAAAAGATTGGTGGTACGAATTTTTTGACGGCGTTTTTCGTTACAGCGTTTGCTTTGAGGTTCGGGGATGCGGAGATTCGTTCTCATCTTCGGACGTGATGTCACGTGAGGGGATCTATTAGCACGTCAGTAAGTAGTTCTGGGAAAATATGTCAAGGCCCTAAGGGCCTGTTCGTTTGGCCAAAAAAACTGGGAAATCAAACTTTAGGAAACCTATTTCCTATTATAATTACTTTGAAGTTGTTTGGTTGGTTAAAAAAAAAGAAAATTATAGAATAGGAGATGAGATGAGATGAGTTGTCACCTTATTATTGGATGATGTGAGTGATTTTTTTAAAAACTTGTTTTGAGGTTGTTTGGTTGGTTAAAAAAATAAGGAAATGAATTGGAGGTATATTATTGGATGATGTTTTGAGGTTGTTTGTGTTTGGTTCGTTTTTAAAAATAAGAAAATAGATGAGATGAGATGAGTTGGAGGTATATTATTGGATGATGTGACACGTACTTAAGGAAACCAATTTCTTGTTTTTTTTTGAGGAAATGGATGGAAAGGAATGTTTAATGAGATGAGATGAGTTGTCACAATATTATTGGATGATGTGTGTGATTTTTAAAAATGAGATAAAATGAGATGTGATGAGTTGGATGATGTGACACATTTCTTGTGTTTGGTTTATTTTTAAATGTAAGAAAGGAGATGAAATGAGATGAGTTGGAAGATAAAAATAATATTTTATTAGATGTTGTGGGTGAGTTTTAAGGATGAAAATGGATAAAAATATTATTTTATTGATTTCCTTGTACCGATTTCATTTTCTTGGTTTTTAGGAAACCAACCAAACAGCCCCTAAAAGTAAAAACTTTATGTGACGAGACTCCTCATAGTTTTTCTCATATGGATCAGCTCTTTAAAGTGTGATACTTTGTATTGCAGTCCCTTTTTAGCAATTATTACATGTCAGCTAAGCTAAAATCCCCAAATTATTCTTATCCTCTCTCATCAATCCCTCAAACCAGCACTCTCTCTCTCTCTCTCTCTCTCTAAAACCAATGGTTTTCTCAAGCTCGTTGCCCTGGCCCTCGCCCTCCTCGCCGTCGCCGCCTCCGCCTGGGCCCCAAGCGCTCTCTCATCTCCCTTCTCTCTCTCCTCTCTCTCTCATCTCCTCTATCCTCTCTCTCTTAAGCTCTCAAGCCCTAATCCTGCTCGCGACTACGCCCTTCACGATGACGTCGGGCTCCAGATCCATGCCCTAGCCCGCGAGTTGGGCCCTCGAGTTTCTAACCACTTCCCCTCTTCTCCTTCGCCCTACCTTGCCTCGTCGCCGTTGCTCGCCGCCGCTCCCCGCCTCGTCCTTGACTACGCCGGATTTCTCCATTTATCGCTAACTGTTTTGCCCTCGAGTTCGCCATCAACGTTGTCGGGATGCCATCAACCCGGATGCTTGCCAAGAAGAAGCTACAGGTCTTCAACAACTTAGACTAACATATATCGCATCACATGTCGATCGTGCCCAGCATCAACTTTCACGACAACAAATGTTTTTTTTTGGCTTTTTTAATATTCAGGAGAACAAAGTGATGTTGATTCTGATGATAATTAATCAAAATATTATTTAAGCTTGCATCTAAACCTTTGAATTCCTCTCTTTTGGACTTGGGCTCTTGGGCAATGAATTGGTCGAGGTAGATTCTCCATTCGATTGCGTTTATTTGGTAATGAATTGGTCGGAGTAGATTCTCCATGCTAGTTCTAGCCCGCACTATGTTAGTTCTAGCTCTAATTCATCTTAGTTCTAGGCTCTTGGGCCCTCAAGTTAGTTCTAACCCGCATCTTCTTAGTTCTAGCCCGCACCATGCTAGTTCTAGTCCGCACTATGTTAGTTCTAGCAAGTTGGGGTAAATTAGAACTAACAATATAGCGAGAGGTAGAAAATGAGCCCAAGTGAAAGGAAGATACCGTGTGATAGAAAATATAAAGGGCTACACATCGGCGAAGACGGTGGTGAAAACGGAGACCGGAGGTGGCCGGAAAACGCTCGCGAAGTCGTCACGACGCTGCTGTTTTCTGCTCGCTGCTGCCATCAAGCGATGTTTCAGACGTTACCGAGAGAGATAGAGAATGAGTTAGAGCGTGATACAAATTGGAGGTGATAGGCAACATATAAGGCTACTCACCAAAGAAGAAATCGGCGGAAACAGAGATTGGAGGTGATCGGAAAGTGCGTGCGAAGTCGGCACAAAACTACAGTTTTTTGCAGTGCAATTTCTCACCGTTCGGGTTTGTTCTTCGCTGTTCGGAGCTTTTCAACGCTGTCCGGGCTTGCCGGAGGTGGGAGGAGGTTATCGGGGTCGTTGGGGTGTCTCGGTGGGCTCCGCCAGAGGTGGGAGGAGATTTTCTCCGTTTCCAAGAGCCTAAAACTAAGATGAATTACAGCTAGAACTAGCTAGAACTAGCTAGAACTAACATAGTGCGGGTTAGAACTAGCATGGTGTAGGCTGTCTAAAAATCACAATAGATAGTCGATCCCTATCAAGCCCTGATAATGAAAGTTACAATCAGACGACTTTCTGACCTTTGCATCCGCAATTCTGCAACCGCTATAAACACGGCCTCATCTCTGAGATGACTGATCTTGATGGCTGCGACAACAGCATGACTAATATGATATTAGCAACTATTAGAGATGCTGATGAGCAGTGTAATGATTTCAGAAATAAAAGGTTGGACTTAGTTGGTGAGTTGCTTGGTAGAGAGCTATGGGCAAATATTCATCTTCAAAACACTATGGATGTTGATTCCCGTCTAACTCCAACAACGAAAGCTACAATCAAATAGCTTTCGGGTCGACAATCGAAAGCGGTAAATAGAGGACCTTTCACGTAGATCGAGAAGAGTTACAATTCGACGACGCTTCCGACAACTGATGAAAGCTCTATTCTGCAGCCTTCGCAACCAACAGTGAGAGTTACAATCTGACGACTCTCATATCCTATAACAGGCAAGGATCAATAAACAATAGCCTTCGCAATGTTATAATGGATGAGGTTACAAGTCAACAACCTCTCTCAAACGCAGAAAGTCATTCCTGCGTTTCCTAAGTTCAAAACGCACACTTGTGTGTTCCTCAGCAGACATCGAACTCTGTAACGCAGAGTTAAAGTACAAGACGCACACATAACGTGCGTTCTTCAATAGACTCAATTATGTGCCCCAAACTCTGGACGCAGAGTTGAGCTTCAACGCACACGGCCTGTGCGTCTCAAATCTCTAACAGAGATTTAACTCTGCGTCTCAAGCCTTGGACGCAGAGTTAAAGCCCATAACGCCAACTGAGGCGTTTTGACTTGTTCAAACGCAAGTCGAACGGCCTCAAAACCGTTATCCCACGTTCTGAGGGATTCTCGCCCACAAAGGAGCGGAAATAGGGGTTGGTTACACTCCACATCACCCTATAAATAACCAACTTACTCAACTGAGTAAGGGGTTGGCGGGTTGATAGGTTGATCAATCGGTTTCTGAGATCAAAACCGCAAAGAGTTGAGGGGAGCTGGTATCAAAACCACCCAAGGTCAACAAATCTCGGCAGTTGAGTAATCGGAAGGAAGAGATCTTCGGGAGATCAAGGAACTGATCAACGATCAGTTAATCAAATCCCGAAGGATCCTTTCATCAAAGGTATCATCCACTTGGCAATTAACCGAATTTTCGGTTCCAACAACTCTGTTACAGAGTTTTAACTCATTCTGAGTTCTTAAACTCGTTAAGAGTTCTTAATTAGCTTGCAACGCAAGTTAATCACATCAAACCAGACATTCGGTTTTCAACAACTCTTATCAGAGTTCTTAACTCGTTCAGAGTTCTTTACACTCGTTAAGAGTTCTAAACCGAAGTCATCAAGCACTTCAATTGTTCCAGTAAAGAAGGACGGTCGGATCGTCAACGGAGAGCAAGTTCGACGCGATCAATCGAAGGAGGCACTCCACCGCTACCAAGAAGAACCCAGTTTTAAACAAAGGGGAGAATCAAATTCATTCTCCTCTCTTTTGTAATCGGAATCCAAATTGTAATCGATTTTGAGAGAATACAAGTCAAATTTTCTTTCTTTGTCTTTTTACATCAAATTTCCAACAAACAAAAGATGGCGACTCCGCTGGGGACTAGCTTCTCTGACGAGGAAGTGGTGGCGCAATCCGACGTTCACCTTACAGGAACCACCGTCGAAACTCTCGTCGTAGAGTTCGACCAAGCCAAGTATGAGGAGGTCCTCTCCTCTGGGTCCCTTAGCCCAAAAGCTAGGCGTGATACCCACAGGACCTCTACGGAGGTCAACACTACTGCTGAGATGCCAAAGAAAGCCCTCTCCTTTGGCCAAGACCTTAAACTCGCTCTGCGAGTTGAAGATTCCTCCCCCGTATCACTACGGCAAATAATAGGTCAAAAAAGACCTATGTCGGAGGAAAGCCCAACCAACGCCGACGATGCCGCGGCCAAGGCCTTGAAACAGGCTAAGAAAAATGCTGCTCGACGAAGGAGAAGATCCTTACGGCGAGCATACTTGCGGAACAGCCAAGCTACTGCACAACGCAAAGACTGCGTTTCTGAGCTTGTGCCCGAACTGTGCGTTTCTGCTCCAGAACGCACACTTCGTGGCAATGAACCCGACTATGAGCCTCGGGTTATTCAACTCAAACGCGACCCTCAGTGGCGCGTTGTTCAACATAGACGCACACCTCAAAAGTGCGTCCCAAAACGTGACCTCCAAAGGCACGTTCAATCATTCAAACGCACGCCACAACCGTGCGTTCAGTCAAAACAAGACCCTC